TCATCTAGTCGACTCAAGTGTATAGATTTGAGTTCACGACCGCGAACCGACTTGAGTTCACGACTCGTGCAATAAATAAAAATATTCAATATTAGCTGATTTTTTTTTTATTCTTTTATTTTTATAAATTCTAGCGAGACAAATTATAAATTAAATAATATGATTTAAATAATATTTTATAAAATTGTAATTTATTATTCATGATTCACTTTCAAATGTAAATCAATATCATTTTATACTGAGTCTTATCAATTAATTTAGGACAATTACAAAATTTAGTATCCCAAATATTTTTTTTTATTTTCCCTATAGTCTAATTTGGGAATCTTATCTAAATATATTTTTTTAAAAAAGGCCAAATAATTATAATAAGGATAGGAATGGTTCTAATCAAATTAATTATTTTAATTTTTTTACTTCGTTCATTATAATAAAAATAAATAAAAATTTGATTTTAACCAGGAAAATATTCCCTAAGTCACGCGATTTCGCTAATAGATGAAAGAAAGAAAGAAAGAAAGAAAGAAAGAAAGAAAGAAAGAAAGAAAGAAAGAAAGAAAGAAAGAAAGAAAGAAAGAAAGAAAGAAAGAAAGAAAGAAAGAAAGAAAGAAAGAAAGAAAGAAAGAAAGAAAGAAAGAAAGTCCAAACCTTTGTACCTATATGACAAAACAGATGAGAAAATACATTTGGAAATCGACACTGTAATTCTACCTACCGAGAATGGTTTAAATCTGTTAGCGGCTTCTCTATGAGCACCATCTTTAGGCCCGCATAATTTTTTTCCGGATAAAATATAGTTGGCCGTTTTTTAAAATACAACGATAGTTACGATACAGTTAAAGTACCCAAAATATTTTACCTTTATTTTATTTTAATAAATGAACTAAATCTTATAAAATGAAATTCACGAAATTCACGAAATTACGAATCATAAAAATAAACAAAATTTTAATAGTTCTTAATCGAAAGAAAAACTCATTAAATATTTTATCAAAATTAATTATTGGCAAGATCCAATAAAATTAATAGATATATTTTATAAAACAAAATTAATATATTTTTTTAACGTATAATCAAATAACAATTTTACAAAAAGATTTTATATACATTGAAGTTAATTTATTTTTAAAAAAATTAAATATCCATTTCTAAAATAAAGGATTTACATTTTCATAAATTAAGAAATATTTTAAATTTTTAAAATATTTTTAAAACTTCATTAATTTTATTATATTTATTTAATTTCAAAAAATCAAAACATTACAAAAAAAAAATATAAAAAAAAAAATCATTTAATGGTCATGCACCCGTATATAAGAAATAACATTTGACCGACACACTTCTAATCCGGATTTTTTTTTGTCGAATATAGGAGCTCCCCGAAGTGCTGCCTTGGTGTTGTTAGGAATTTTTCTGCCGTGCATTTTTTATAAAAGTTTAAGAGGTTCCCGCTAGTAAGAGTGGTGCGGTGCTTATTAACGCATGATTTCAAAGAATAGTATTTTATTTTATTAGTTTCTGCAATTTACGTGGAACGGATTTACGCGAGTAGTCCCAAACTAAGGGTCAACCCAAATACCGGATGTGGGATTGTTTTTTTTCCTGTTTTTTATGTTTGAAAAAAAAAATTTGTATTGTTTTTTTATTTTACATCCCTAACACTATATATAAACTACCACAGATTGATAATAGATAATAAATAAGCTACATATATATTTTGTTTTTTTTTTTCCTTTACATATTTAATTTGTGTGTTAATTGTTGCAATTACTTTTTTATATATATATTTTTACAACAATTTTAAAATTGATGCAAACTGAGTCTTGTTTAAACAGACCGATTTGGGATCGATTTTAGCACCGGTCGATTAAGATCTTAACTAAAATAATATCATATAAAGTTTCGAGATTCGGCATATAGAGTTCCCAAACACTTCTGCCGTCTATGAACATTTTCTTCAGGCTCATGTAATATTATTTTTTTAACAGCACTACTAATGAAAACAGTTATACTGCTTGATTTGATTTTTTTCAAAATCTATTATATTTATTTTTGATTTTTATAGTTAATAATGTCGATTTCGGCCCGGCCCGGCTCGGGTATATTTTAAAAAATTTTGGCCTGGGTTTGCAGGTCTCTGATATATTATATAAAAATATATAAAATACTGTATTAGTTCTTTCTTTCTTTCTTTCTTTCTTTCTTTCTTTCTTTCTTTCTTTCTTTCTTTCTTTCTTTCTTTCTTTCTTTCTTTCTTTCTTAACGTGCGGGTAGATTTTAGCCCACCTACCCATGCCCGGGCGGGGGCGAATCAATTTCTAAAAAAAAAATTCGGACCAGCTGATTAATTTTTTTTTTATACAATGGACGAAGTTTAAGAAGTTCAAAATTCAAAAAACCCGTCCATTGTAGATCTCTCTTAACTATATTTTATTTCATTTTATTTTCAAAATTGAATTTGTTATCTAAGCTAATCTAATTAGTGGTGTAACAAATAGGTATTTTTCCCCATATCATTATATATATTTAGATGGATAATCTCATTTGTTTTTTCATACCACAAAATTTTATCATCTAAAACATTATTGATTCGGCACAAAACTAACCCTACTTAAAAATAAGTAGATTTAAAAAAAAATTATGTCAAAAAAATCACTGTTTACATTTCATTATCGCAATTTATCTTATATATAACTCAAGTTTAAACAAAAAAAACATAATTTTTAAAAATATTAACCTTGAATTTTTTTTATAAAAAATAAAATATATTATTTAGATAAAGAAAATTATAAATTTTTAAACCGCAAATGTTAAGTTTTTTTTATATATATTCACATTTATTTATGTCTTAATTTATGTTAATTTTTTTTTTTAGTTATAGCCAAAATTCTCTTCAATATTTATAATATTTTTGATATAGTTAATAATTATATAATTTCGCACGTTTCGATTTAAAATACCTTTCATTTCCAAGTTAATTAAAAGGAAAAAAAAATATAGTATTTTTAATTATTTTTTTTAAAATTAAAATTTGTAAATGATGGTAAAAAAAATAGGTAATAATAAATAATATTGGATAGAATTTTTTTAAAAAAATTATTTTTGATACCTGAGGAAACTGGTTCATGACATGACAAGCAAGAGCATATCTAAATTGTTTATCATTATGTTAATTACTTCTTTCTTTCTTTTTTGATAAATTGCTACTTAAATTATTAATGATTAAGGGGTGATTCCTGGTCAGCCAGCTGTTTAGCCGGACAAATAATTCCCGCTATTAACAGACTTTAAAAAAAAAGGAAAAAAATATACGATCAAATTAGGATGTCCTAGTTCAAAAGTTATTTAGCCGTGGCCAATGACATGACGATGCATTCGTAATAATGCATTTGAAAGCGTCGTTGAATGCAAATCAGCTGAATCCGCCATTTTTGGCAACCCATTATAGTAATAATTCTCATGTTAAAAACTACTATTGGATAACTTGCTTCCTTGTTAATCTCGATGATCAGGCGATTCTTTAATAAAGTTTGCGTCAGACAGAGGAATAAATCGGCCTCTCGTTATAAAATTTTTGATAATGATATGGGTAATCAAAATGGCGTCCTCAACTGTTTTTTCATTCATGTACACTTTTAAAATAAATGCGTCATCAGTCTAGGTATTATTATTATATGTCATTGGCAATAGGCTAAAACAGAAATGAGTAATCAAAAATAAGTCGAATCGGGACGCGGCCTAAATATTTATTTATTTAGATTTAATCGATTTTAGTTTACATAGGATAAAGTAAACCCCAAAAATACCAAAAATAAAAAAACTTTATTATAACAGAGACCTGCAGACCGGGAGCAAAGCCAGGGCTCAAGTTATACTGACTAGGCCTTAACTATTTATTTTATATTTTTTTTTAAAACCGGGCTTGGGGACTAAAAATATCTTTTTATGTCAAAATCCGGCCCGGCGCAACATTATTCGACGAATACTCAATGTAATAACCTGCTGTTTCATTCGTCATTCATAATAACCAAAACCGTTAACCTTTGAGTCATTTATAAAATTTATAAAATCGAAAATTTAATATAAATTATGTTAAGTTCAAAAGTTCACTGGTAAAAAAAAATTATCTGAAATTTTTGGGAGAAGTATTCCAAACATGATCAGAATACGTTTCCGGTAAAATCAGATTTTTTTAAATTTAAAAAAAAAACGCGCTTAATCAAGACACCAGGCCAATTTTTAAAAAAAAGAAAAGAAAAACACGTATATTAAATCAGTTGGAACTGACTAATAGCGGGTATAATCATATAAAGGTTGATAATACTTATCTTATATATAGACTTCTAGCCGGGTAGATACTGAACATCTTAGGGTATCTTGGTTCGACTTATTATTACTAAACAGCCTAAATAGGCAATAAAAAACGAAAAAAAACAAAAAGAAAAAGAAAAATAACAAATGCTCATATGGCCAGAAGTATTCAAAATATAGAAAATTTTTAAAAATTCTTAGGCCAGGCAAACTAAAAAAAAAATTCCCGAGAAAAAAGTCGGACCTAGTTTTGAAAATTAAATTTATCAACTCAAAGACGTGTATTAGTTAACCTCTGCAGGTCTTTGTAATTTTTTTTATTCATTTGTCACCATCGCTAACGGTTTTAGTTTTGCGGACCCAAACCGGGCCTGCTAGGGTTATTGATTGGGTTCGTGATTTTATAAGGGCCACTATGTATAATCATCACACAAGAACAAAACTTTACAATGTTTGTAACTATCTTCCAGAGTATTTTTTCTTCTTATTCCGATTAGCATGTTTCCTTCTTTCTTGTCTTTCTTGTCTTTTTTTCTTTCTCTTTTTTTTATATTAAATGTTTTGATGAATTATATTTAACATTTCCCCCAAAAAAAAGGAAATATTTTAAAAATATCGAATATTAATATAATAAAATTATTATAAGTTTTTTAATAAATATCAAAAAACTTTGAATGATTTCGAACTAGATCAAAGATTGCGCCTTGCAATTGTACAAACTAAATAACCATACAAACAATTTGAACGGTAAGGATATGAACAGTAATTATCCACAAAACAAATCGGAGATTCTATACAATAATTTAAAGCGACAGTTTTTGTCGGAAGATAGTGATAGATTCGACGAACCGAAAGGAGTCAATTCCAACGCATCCGGAGAATTAGGACATTATTTAGATTTAGATTCGACTCTAGATGAACAAATAGAAGATTTGCAATGCCTGGAAGATGAGTATAATAATAATTATAATAGTATTAAATAATTTTTCCCAAATTTAATATTTTATTAGATCTGGTTCGTTGGTATTAAGAACAAGCATCACTGTTAGAGTTCATCATATTGTAGGTACAATTCTATATTTTCGCGCGATTCGCAAATAAATTCGCGTTTTATATATATATATATAAACATGATTTTATATGTCTAAAAAACAATATCAGAAAAACTTTTGAATTCAACGGGTCGACAGTTGAGACGCGGTTTGTTTTCTCTCAAACAATTATTTCAGGTTATAAAAAAAAAAACCATAAATTGGCACATTTAATAATAAATAAAAAAAATTTTTTTAATTTAATAACGTTTAAAGGATGACAAAGATTTGGTTCACGAATTTATACTGAACGATGGCTTGTCATGTCTCATAAAGATAGGCATGGAGGGTGATCAAAATCATCAGAATTACATATTGAGAGGTTTTATTTATAAAGTATTTTTATTTATTTTTTTAAAAACACCCCTCAATGACCACGAAATATTATATTAAAAATAAACATTAGGCTAACAAATCAATCCACTAAACAAACTAAAAAAATAATGATAAATCTCGGCTTTACACTAACCCTTTGAGATATATAAATCGAGAAGAAAAATAATGTACAAAGTGTGCCCACACTATTTTTTATTTTTTTAAATTGTATAAAATATGGAAATAATTTGTATCACATGTTATGGTATATAAATGGCCAAAATGTATGTTTTAGAAACTACTGCGCTAAAGAAAAGAAATTATAGTGACACTGACACTACACTACTAGATCAGAGTGCCGTTGTGTATTCTTTGACAGATAAATGGCGGTTATATTTACATTTTGCTGTACGGATGTGAATGGAAGGGATTATTTATACCAAATTAAGATAATATTTGATTAAATGTAAAAATACAAAATAAATAAAAGTGAAACCAATGTATAATTCTTAAAAATCGATCTTCCTCAATCATCAGGAGAAATCTAATCGATAAAACAAACATAATTAGCTTTAGGAATAGCTAATGCGATCCTGTGCCTTGAGTAAAAAGCCTTCGCGAGGTTCTTCAGAATTTTATCCTGATAAGGCGGCCAACGTCTTTAAAAAAAACTTTCCAGCCCAATAACAAATATTATATATTAAATATTATATTTATAAATAAATAATTTCAACCGGTCGTTTTGACAATGTATTTTATTTACTTTATGTAAAAGATATAAATACCGTGGTTAAACGAAGGAAAAGCTTGTAGTTAATATTTTTACGTATTCACTATCATATCAATTATAAAATTTGGTATCCGAACTGATGAAGAAGTAGTTATTGAATATTAATAAATGGTCATTAATGGATATAATTACCAATAGTTAAAAACATCGCCATTCAATTCTTTATCTTTCTTGAATATCATCTTCGAAATATAACTACAAATTTCATTTAAATCAAGGTAAGGATATATATATATAATGAATGTATATGTTAGAGGTAGTGTTGTTAAACGGCTCATTTTGAGCCGATTTTTAAGAACGGCTAACTCGATATTTTAGCCTGAAAAATATAGCCTAAGCCTTGAGATTTCTCTAATAGATGTCCTAACCTTAGTTCCTTCTACAAGCAAAATCCTCAGGCTTAAGTTATATTATTCTAGGTGAAATAGTGAGTTAGCCGTTTTAAAAATTCGGCTCAAAACGAGCCGTTTAACAACGCTAGTTAGAGGCAATCTGCTTTTTCCGACAATTTGTTAAAGTCATATTTTTTTGAGCACGTTCTTTTTAATTTTTAAAAATTCGATTTTACCCGGAGATGTATTCCAGCATGTTTAGAATATACCTTATCTTACGAATTGTAGATTACTTTTACGATTAAATTTTGAGTCTTTTATAAAATTTATATGGAAAAATTTATGGAAAAACGAATAATAAATTATAATTAAGTTCAAAAAGTTCACGGCAAAATTGTCTGAATTTTATAGGGTATTTCCAAACATGTGACGGCATACATTTCCGTCACTAAATTCAAATTTTTTTAAAAATTTTAAAAATCGTGCTCAAAAAATTAAACTAACATATATATATAATATTGAGGCTAATATTTAATTATTAATAAACAAAGATTATATTTGAATACTTTTTTGTTATTCAATGTAATCAAGTGGCGCAGATACATATTTTACTTCGAAGGATTTTGCTAGAAGGGGAGAGTACCGGTGGGTCTTCCCCATATTTTTTTTTAATTGAAGGTCTTTAGGTCCACTTATTGCAGGCTTCTGGGTGTGCAACATAAAATTTATGGTTCAGACTTTTTTACATATATAGTTATGTGTATATTGTACGCATCTTTTGGTTTTTTAATAGATTAAGATTATATTTATAAGCAAATTTGTGAGATGGGGGGGGGACGTCCGTAAGCCAACCCCCTCTTTCGTTATGCCTATAATAATTGCATATTATCATAATGATTGTCTGTCTAGTCAGATTATAATATTTCGCCTCATATATAAACCTATATATTTTTGGGATGATTTCAAATTAAACCTTTACCAAAATATTTTTTTTTATAAATTAAAAGCTATAAGTCAAATAATGTTGTACGTTGATGGTATGGACGGCATAAAAACACACAACGAAACATTACAATGGTTGTACTCTCTACTATCTTCCAAAGTATTTTTTTCTTATTTCATTTATAATCTTTCTTTCTTTCTTTTTTTCTTTCTTTCTTTCTTTCTTTCATTCTTTTTCTTTCTTCCTTTTTTTATCAACATTTTTTTTATATATTGTTAGTTTCGCCTAGTCATAAAAACCGCTCTAAAGTTGATATTAGTATTTTTGGAGTACAGGGAAGAAAATTCGTACCCTTTTCTCAACTCCGTCTACAAAGTTCAACGTAATTTAAAACATTTTTTTTTGTGTTTTTTTATGAATGTTTATTCCCTAGAGGATACAATGGTGATTTATTATAATTTAACTTTTTGGTAGGTTAGGGAGGGGGGGCAGGTGGGATAAGGAAATCCAAGTTGAATTAAAATGTATTTTACCATAACCTAAATGCTATTGTAATTATTTTTAACCAAGATTATTTTCTAATGCACTTAAGAATTTTAAAATTTTATGATATAAATTCTCAGTTACCCAATGACATGTATAAATACCTAGACTAACGATTCACTCATTAAAAGTGTACATCAATGCAAATCAGCTGGAGAGGCCATCTTGGTTACACTAATCATTATTAAAATTTTAAACGAGAGCCTCATTTATTTCCTATATCTGATGCAAACTTTATTGAAGAACTATCGGATCATCGAGATAATAAGGAAGCAAGTTATCAATTTAATAGTAGTTTTGTAACGTAAGAATAATTACTATTACGTGTTACCAAAATGGCGGGTCCAGCTGATTTGCTTTTAACAACGCTTAAAAATGCATTTTAATGAATAAATCGTCAGTCTAGGTATTATATATGTCATTAATATTATTAAAGCTATGCCAATCATATCGTTAATTGACGGGTAAGAAGAGTATGAATGAGAATAAATGGAAGCAAGATGGCGGGGTGGGAAGAGGGTAAAATTTTATTACAATTGCAGTTTCCATAAAGTGTATTTTATTATTTATTGCTACTAATAATTTGCAACCTGAATAATTTTTCATTTAAAAAACTCTTGGACACAATTTTCGAAATATTTTCTCTTTTATATATTATTTATTCCATTTTGATTTTAATTATATATATTTTTTTTAAAAAACTAATTTTTTTAAGCTGATCAACCTTTAAAACTGATGATTGAATTATTGGACGATAAAGAACTTCTGAATGATTCCGAAATACTGATACATTCTATAACAATTATCAATCGAGTAATATTCATATTTATTATGAGGAGTGTTCCCGATTAAGAAAGAACGAAAGAAAGAAAGAAAGAAAGAAAGAAAGTAAGACCAGAAAGAAAGAAAGAAAGAAAGAAAGAAAGAAAGAAAGAAAGAGGTTTGAACCTCTACTTGCCAAATCTCGAGGCTTACATAATATTATTTTGGCTAAAATCTTAATTGGGACATTTTTAAAAATCGACCTAAATCGGGCCATTTTGACAACACTAATTATCAGAGATTTAGCAGATTTATGGTATTTCATTTCCCCTTTTTTTAGAAATTTTATTTCAATTTTTAAAAGAACACCTGACTTTGGCATGTTCAGCGGAAGTTACCTTCTAATTTTAAAAGATACAAACAAAAAAAATACGAATTATTAAATTCTTAGAATATTTTAGAAGTTGAAATATATTTGATCCAATAGTCATAATCCCTCCAATTTGTTTAGGTTTTGACTCAACTCTCACCCAAAAAACTCGAGAAGTATCGTAATTTTGGTGCCAAAATACCCGTTACTTACAACGAATTGATTAAAAGCGTCGAAAGATCGAATTTGAACCAAATCGTTAAACGTTACCTAAATCGGGTTGCTCAAAGCGGCAATTACAACAATGGATTCGATAATGATTTTATCGAACAGCTCAACAGATACATTACTCTATCCAAACTCTCCGATCTATCTTCGCTTGCGGATCAACGATTTTGTGAAGGCAAACAAACCACAAATCACAATAATTTAAATGGCAACGTCAAAAGAGACAATACGTCCGAATATAAGTGATTGACTTTTTTTTTTGAAATATGATTCTGTAACTATGTTCAAAAAATATTTACGATTCTTCTTCAATAAAAATCTATTTATTTATTTTTTCCATTTTAAATTATATAGAAAACGGTTTTCGGAATGCAACATATCAACCCCGGATATGGTAGACAATAGAAGTCCTGTCAATCATTCAACTATAAAATACAACGGCCATGACAACTCCGTTTATCAAAATAGTGGAAATGCTTTCAATACAAGTTTGCATCTTAGCCCCCCCCCCCCGACCCCCCCTCCCAAATTCTATTATAATTTTATAATTCGACCTCTAATTACGCTTATATTAATCGGTTAAGGCTGTTTAATACATGATTTATAAGAGTTAACTATCCTATTGATCAGAGAGGTATTACACCCCCCCCCCGCAACCCTGGAGAGGATGGGGCATCTAAATTGTTACAACTGGGAGGGAAGTCACAAATTATGAGAAATTTTTTGGATGGGAGCTCAAATATTTTTTTGTCAATACGTCTCTGGTATTGATTGGCGTAAATGTTATATTTTGATGTATTTATAATCTCTACAACATGATCTTTCCTACGGTCGGCCTACTTACTAAAAGTGTTCATCAGAGAAGGAGTATATAATATTATTGATATTTTTGTTTTTCTTATTAAAATGATAATAATAAATTTCTAAACAATAAGTCTACTTTTTAAAATCTAAAGAAAAAAATGGGTTTTTTTGCGAAAATAAATTTCGAAATTTTTGCACTTTTTGCACTTTTTTCTCTATTCTTTCTTTCTTTCTTTCTTTCTTTCTATTCAATTTATTATTAATACGATTATTTTCTTTAAAAAAAATAGATTATACGGACAATATGACACTATCGTCCTCTTCAACCTCATCTTACAACTCTTGTAATTCTTTTGCTAATAGAAGTAAAATTACAAATCAATTTTTTTTCTATCATTATAAATATTAATTTTTTTTTTAAAAAAAAATGCGTACTTAGATAAGGCATTAACAGGTAGCCTTAACTCTAACGACATCACAACTTGGCCCAAAAAGCACTACATTTCTAACTCAATGAATTCGAGCCAGGATTCTCAGGATAATTTATACGATACAACAGGGGTTAATAAAGACAACAACTCTAATACTAATAAAATGCTATTTTCGTGGAGGGATAAGTTTAAGAGATCCGATTTAATAACGGACAAAAAAATCGAAGAGATACCCGAAAATGGCCTGTTAAGCAATTCCAAAAATAATCCTAGCACCATCTGCACCCAAAGTAACTGCCTCACTCAGGGTAGCAATAATAAAACATCACTATTCAGTAATGGCTACGCGACCCTAAACGAGGATTACTACGATGACTGTTACTTGAAACAGATACCCACCGCTAAACCCAGTAGCGGTCCAACGCCCTCTTCCGCCAGGTCAAAATTTCAATACCTAGAGTCCATAAACAACAGCTGCAAAACGAAAAATATCAAGAATAGCGTGAGCCCCATCGGTAATGGTCACGAGAACAAGCGACTCTACGTGTATCAAAATAGTCGGAGCGACGTAAAAAATTCGTCCAGCATCACGAACAATCTTCTCAGCAAAAATAATCCGGATTTCTGTCGCAAGGACGATAATTCCAATAAAGCTGTGTGCAAGAAGAGCCAAATGTTGGACAATATTTACAGGAATTCGAACACGCGAGAACAATACGTTCAATCGGTTCCGGAGGCGTCTCCCGCTACGGCTAAATTAAATGAACCAAAATTTACTAATGGTAGCGCTGTAACTCGAACACCCAACATTGGTAATAATAATAATAATAACAAATTCGTATATCCGAGTAAAGATGGCGTAAAAAATACTTGCCACTCAAATAATATCGGCAATAATCAATCGTATAATGACAGAATAATGACGGACGATAAATTCAAAAACGAGTCAAACACCGTCAGTTATGGTTACTCACCAAATAGATCTAACTTTAAGGAGGTTATTTAATTCATTTAATATACAAACAAGTTTGTATGGATGGGGAATGACTAGCCGCACCTTCGACTAAGCTATATCTTATTTATTTTTTAAAAAATTCACTATAACAAAATAGCCATAGTCAATAAGGAAAAACTATCATTTATTTGCTAATCATAGTTTTTTTTTTTTGTTGTTTAATATTCTGCTAAACAATTGGCTAAATCAACTAAATTTAACCCTTCCTCTATCCTATACTAGATCGGGATCAAATATGTTGCCATTTAAAAAATTGAATATTTTTAGAACCATTTTTTTTTGATTGTTTTATTTCTCCAAATCAACAGCAAAGTATTCAGTCCCATCCAGGTGTAAACTACCAGCCGCCTAAAATAACCGTGAATTCTATGAACGGATCTGTATCACTACACGATAATATGATCAATTTGCCTTCCAAAATGGTACCCTCATTCCTTTCCAGTAATGTAGGAGACACTCCCTCGTTCAACATTGCGAGAACATCTGCCGACAACGTTGATAACTTCGCCAAATCTCCCGGTGGCTATAATTTAGGGTCTAACCATAAATCGGCAAACGATAATTGCGGCCAATTTAGATCCAACATCGAGTCAATCATTACTACGAACGCCTTAGCTCCCGATGGCGAGGATTCCCAAAAATATAAATCTGAAAGTCAAATGGAATGGGAGAGACTGCTGAAGAATTTGAAAAGACCCCTACAAATTTCCGACCTTGATTTTAGCGATCTCACGCCAGAGGATGATATAGATATTTACTATAACGATCAGAAAAACAATGTCGCTAATACTAATAATCTAAATGGCGTCGGTAGTAACTCCATTAGACAAGCACCGCCTACGTTATTGGTGACCGCCCCACCTCCGCCACCCCTTCCATTTAATTTAAGTAAATTTAACCAAAAAAATAGTAATATTTTATATTTCTTTACACATTGTTAATAAAACACATACATATTATAATATGAGGAATAAATTTTTTTAAAACATTCAGCCTTATAAAAATAAAAATTATTTGTCAGTTTATTTTTAGTATATGGATGGGCCGTTATTTAAAATGAGATTAAATGACATTATAAACCTATAGGCAAATATTATGATATAGAGATGTAAAAAATCGCTTTACTCCAATCGGCTAGGCCTTGGAACTCGAGTCGGAAAAAAATCGGCTAAGCCTTGGAGTGCCAGCCATAAAATTCGATTAGAAAGAAAGAAAGAAAGAAAGAAAGAAAGAAAGAAAGAAAGAAAGAAAGAAAGAAAGAAAGAAAGAAAGAAAGAAAGAAAATTGACACTGTAACTCATAAGTTATTGACAAGAAAAATTTTTGCTGGTTTAGAGAACTCGATGTATGATGTAAGAATGAACCGTTATGGACTAGTTATAATTTTTTTTTCTTTAAATCTTTGATGATTAATTTTTTTTTGTGAATATTGATGATATTTATTTTTTTTATCTAGTAATATTTTCAATTTTTTTTTTCTCTGAAATTCGAAAAGGGACAATTAAGGTGTCATGTCATTAATTATGTCGAGGGCAAATACAGTTTACGCCTAGAAATTTGACCAAGCCGTTTAGGAGACGGCTTGAGTGAATCGATTTAGCATTTACTATTACGATACATAAATATAAATATAGTATAATAAACAAATCTATATCGAAAAAAAAATATTAAATTAATATAGATTTAAAAAATGACGGTGCCTTCGATCGAAATAATACACCGCCGGCTGTTCCACCACCCCCGCCGCCTTTAATGAAAAACCCGTTAAGCAAGACCCTGTCATCTTCCACTATGTGTTTATCATCGACCGATAAATCCTCCCACAATCAAAATATTCGCAAAACTCTGAGATTATTCTGGAAAGAGCTAAAGATTCCAGATAATCATAGAACCACTTCCAACAACTATCAATACAATTCTCCCCTAAAGGTTTAAACCTAAATCCAATCACATGATCGCTAAATATACTATCATAAAAATAATATTGTAGTCCGACCAATCAATATGGACCAGTTTAAGGCCCGTGAAGTTGGATTTCGACAAATTAGAATACCTCTTTGAAACTAGAGCGAAAGAACCGTTACCCAAGGTTCGAATAAACAGCACGATTTTATTTAATATCTATTATAATAATATTTATATGTTACGATGTGTTTTTTTTCCCGGCGATTTGTTATTTTTACAACTTTATATCATTATTTGAGCGCCGTTATTTTAAATTTTTAAATCTGATTTTATCGTAAATGTATTCCATCGTCTTCGGAATTACCTATCTTATGAATCGTAGATAATTTTGCTGTTGACCTTTGAGTCATTTATCATTAATATGAAAAAAGTTTAATATAAAATTATATTAATTTTAAAAAGTTCGCGGAAAAAAATTATCTAAAATCTATAAGATACATTATCGGTAAAATCAGATTTTGCAATTTTTTAAAAAATGCGCTTCAAAAAATGGTTTAAAGTTGAAAAAAATACCACCATTGCCTATATATATTAAAATGTTATAAATATGTTAAATAATAAAATATATTATATATATTTTTTTCATATTTTACAAATTATGTGCTTTCAATTCCACATGCTTTCGAAAATTTCCCTTTATAACCCCCGATTTAAGGATGTAAGTGTTAATATGTTATTTTTAATGAATAATTTTAAAAAAAATATATATATATTTATAATTTTAATATAGAATAAAAGTGACAACAAGCGTGGGCAAATCATAGTCTTAGATTCGAAAAGATCTAATGCAATAAACATCGGGATGACAAAATTACCACCCGCCAGAGCTATCAAGGCTGCCGTATTAAAAATGGATAACTCCATCATGAACAGGGACGGAATTGAAGTTCCCTTTTTAAAACATTTTTTTTTTAAAAATGATATTTTCGTATCGCCCAGTTTATCTAACCTATTTTTTAAAAAATTTTATCCTATATCCTGTTGTATAAATTTTCTAGTATCACTCTTTTTTTTTTCATTTCTTATAGTAATAATAATTGTTCGATCTGTCTTTCTTTTTCTTTCCCCGTTTAATGGCGATTTCCGGGTTTACCCAGGTTGGCCAGTTTTCCCTCTGATGGATATTATGGGAATTTGTATTAATTTTTTTTTTAAAAAAAAAATTAGAAATTGTTGTCTATTATGATACCGACGGAAGAAGAGAAACAAAAAATACTGGATGCCCAGATGGCTCACCCAGAACTACCCTTGGGAACCGCCGAGCAATTTCTTCTGACCCTATCCTCCATTTCCGAATTAAAAGCTCGTTTAAAGCTCTGGGCTTTCAAATCGGATTACGAAGGAATGGAAAGGGTTTAAATTTTTTTTTTTGTAATTTATAATAATTGTATTTGTTTACTTAATAATTTAATTTATTGAACTTTAAAGGCTTTATAATTATTGTTTTTTTTTTAAATTGCCATTTTCTTTGATTAAAATTAAAGTTACTAAGACAGCGTACTCAGCACATCTTAATACCTATTAAATGCTTCTATTTTTTTTTTAAATAGTCTTAAAATCGCGTGTTTAGACAAGCTATTTAGAATTCTAGAATTGATGAGTTAGCCACAGAATTCTAATAAATTTACAATTAGAAGCAGTTAATTAAACTATGTTTTTTTTGTTTAAAATCGTTTCTAGGATATAGCGGAACCGTTAATGGACCTAAAAAATGGTCTGAAAGAAGTGGAAGAGAATAAAACACTTAATTACGTTTTGTCGGTCATTTTGTCAATCGGAAATTTTTTGAACGGGACTCAAGTATAATTTAGCATCTGTTACGTAAACATTATATAATATATTTATATTCTTTCTTTCTTTCTTTCTTTCTTTCTTTCTTTCTTTCTATCTATCTTTCTTTCTTTCTTTTTTTTCTAGGGGTTAGGGTTTTATATATATATATATATATCTTAATAATTAATTAGTGCAAAGGATTTCACATCGATTATTTATCCAAAATTCCGGAGATAAAGGACACCGTACAAAAACAAAATTTATTGCATCACGTATGTGATCACGTCATGGATAGATACCCGGACTCGACCGATATGTATTCGGAAATGGGAAATTTAGTCAGATCCTCTAGGGTTAATTAATATATTTTTATTTTATTTTTTACATCGCTTTAAAATCATGCTTCTTTTTTTTTGTGAATAACATTTTTACAAATTTACCTTCCTTTACGAAAATAAATGTGATAACATTTCGATATTTGGAACATATATTTGTTAATGCGAAAGGAAGGAACTGTTATATCGTTTTTCCCAAATTCAGAACCAACCAACATGCATACTAAAAGAGTTATTATTTAGTGTCGCTAAATTACCAAACTTTAGTCAACTATAAAACAGCGTAGAGCCTCAATCTTCAAGTTGAGACTGGACTTAGAGGCTTAATTCCAATTTTTTTAGGCTAAAAGTTTGATTAAGCCGCAATTGAGATGGTCAGATAATTTAACAACACTAGTTATTACAACCCTGAAGGGTTAATGCTGAGAAAATTAATTATATATTATGTATAATATTCTCTATATTTAATTAATTTTTTTTTTCACCAACCCTTTTTTGTACAATTTAACTAAGGTGGATTTTGACGATTTGACCAATAATTTAGAAAAAACGGAACATCTTTGCAAGGAATCTTGGGACAATCTAAGAGCCGTTATTAAATACGAGACTGGGCCAGTTTTAAAGATCAGGTATAATTATTTCTAGTTTTGTCAATGACATATAATAATGCATTTAAAAGCGTCGTTAAATGCAAATCAGTTGAACCCGCCATTTTGGTAACCCATATAGTAATTATTAAACTGATAACTTGCTTCCTTATATCTCGATAATCAGGCAAATTCTTTAATATTTGCGTCAGACAAAGGAATAAATTGACCTCTCGTTTAAATTTTTTTTTAATAATGAGATGGATAATCAAGATGGCGTTCCCAGCTGTTTTCATTGTTGTACACTCCAGTCTAGGTATTATTATATATCATTGAGTTTGGTATGAGTGATTTTTAATAAAAACATGATTTTTTTTATTTTATAATTATTACAAGAATGTCAGAGTTTATTAACGACTGCGCTCAAAGGATCATGGTGCTAAAAATTGTGCATAGACGTTTAAATAACAGGTATTAAAATTATTAACAATATATCGCAATTTCTATTTTAACATTATAAATATTATTTTATTCGTTTGACACAAAGATATAAACGAACACTGAGATATTTTGGCATAACGGGTAATTCCGTGGATTCGTTGAAGATCACGATCTTCTGCAGAATCTTCACCGATTTTGCCTTGGAATATAAAACGGCGCGAGAAAAATTGGTGGAAAATGTTAAAAAGAAGCAAAAGCACAAGGAGAGGAACATGACGAGAGGAAAGATGATCATAGATGTAATAAAAATTTGTTAGATAATTTGAAAGTGTTTAAATTAGATGCAGCACCCCGCCATCTTCTTGGTAATTTTTAAATGGGGAAAGGAGAATTTAAAAGCTATATCATTAAATTGAAATCCAATCACACAGGCTTAATCCCAATTGTAACACCAACGAATAGCCATTTTTTTCGTTAATTACCTTTAATTTTTTTTTAAAACCCTATAGTATATGACGCAAAATTAAATATTATCTTTACAAATGGAAACTAAGGGATCAATGAGCCAAAAAATAACTCAAATATTTTTGATATAATTATGATCTAATTTTGGGAATTCAATAAGAAACATGACCGCCCGCAACCTGGCGTTATTTACATCTAGATCATTCCCTTTGGCGGCTCAATTTTTTTTTTTTTAAAAAAACTGAACCCACTCTGATTCCTGTTAAACTTTTCTAGATTATTTTATAATGATATTCAATCGATCTAAAAATTGAATAGGAAATTTTTTCTGGCCACGGATCGGGCCTATATTTTACCCCACCCCACTCTCTCGCTAGGCTGACGGGCTACTTCTGCACCACAGGACTATAAATTAAAGTTTGGTTTTAGGATTCCCAGTTAAAAGAAAAACTATGTAAAGAAACTATTTTTTTGAAAATCCCAAAGATTCAAATTGTTTTTCTTTATTTTACCTTTCTGAATAAATATTAATCATCATATTAGTCCATCAAACGGAGTATCCCTAGCTCTCTTTTAGATAAAAATAACAACAAGACCCATAACGATAATGATCGCGCATACGCGAAAAACAACCAATCAGCTAACGTTAATAATAATAATATAAGCAAATCTAAATTCAGCCTGAAAAATTTTATAACAAATACTAAACCCGATAGCGATATTCACAAAGCAACGAATGGGCAACTTTATAATTACCAACAAAATTTAAGCGCAGATAGAGCTTTGCAAAATATCTTATTGTCTCCAAACAGCAAATTTAATGGTCTTACAAGTACTTCTTCTATCCCGTCGAGGTCAATGCAAGGTATAATTCAGAATTGTATATGTTGATATTTTAATTGGCTTGCTATTTATAATTAGCAGAGTTGTTAAAAGATACTTTTTAAATGGATCTAGATACAGATACATCGTCAAAATAATATCTAGATACAGATATTTTAATCAAAAATGTATCTAGATACAAATAAGATACCACATTTTTATATCTAGATCCTTTAACAACTCTGATAATTAGCAAGCTATTATATCAAAAGAATTTTAAAAAAAAACAGTGGATTAAAAACATTATGCAAGTCTGAAGATTTTGCTCATACATGGCGCAAAGGATTGGACATCTATTAGCCGAATCTCGAGGCTTAGTCAATACGTTTTCCTGGCTAAAATCAAATCGAGCTCTTTTAACGAGCACGAGTTGTTACATTATTTAATTTTAAAATTTAATTAGGACCCTCTAGAAGTGGAACGAATAATTCGTGCCAAGGAAACGCGTCAAGAAAATCGGAGCCATTCTACCAAAGACAAAATGTTACGAATGGAAGTCGTTTGGGAAGCAAAGCTGGTAGCAACAATAAGCTAAATAATAATGGCGAGGAACTTTACACGGATGACGAGATATTGGAATCGTTAATTAGTTCATCGTCGAATTTTACCAATAGTAGAGCTAATCCAGCTAGACGTTCGTTAAACACTCACGCCAGAATTCGATAATATTTTACAAATTTGTATTTTTTTAAAAAAAATTGACAAGCATAAAGCATCACCACATCCCAGTATTAGAAGAATTTTTTTTTTTAGAAAAATTCACCCTTTTATTTTTAGATATATTTTATATTCATTTTCAAAAAAATAAACTAATATTATGTATATAATATAACTCTAAAAAAAATTATTTAAAAAGGATAAAACATAAATTATTTTATTATGATAAAGTATTCGTAGCTATAATAACCCGTTTAAATATTTTTAAATTATAACACATACAATTTATATTATATTATATATATATTTTATTTTTAAAAAGTCAATCACACAATAATAATAGTTATTATATATCTCTTTCTATTCTGGTCATAATAAAAAAAAAACTTCGATTATTGTCAAAAATTATATATATAATATTAATTAGTACATATTTAACTTATTATTTTTTATCACTTATAATGGTCATTCTTCCTTATATTTATATATATCTAAAATTGTAATCAATTTGTTTGCGGTTCATCACAATCATAATAAATCAAGTGTATTTATTATCTATAGCAAAAAAAAGTCGGGAGTATTTAAACATGATATGAAACTAAGCCTCTGGGCAGACATCAAATTTTACTTAATTACTGAGTTGACTAAAAAGGAGATTTTATTGTCTACAAATGTTACTTTAAAAAAAAAGCCTCTTGGGTTTGGCAGGTATTTAAGAAAGTGTTCAATTTGCAGACCCGCTACTAATATAGTCAAGTAATTGGTTTAATTTGCCTTGTGGCAGCATAAAAAAAATACGTTTCTGCTATTTTTAGACTACCAAGACTGAGAGGTAATAATTTTTGGTCTAAACATTTAGTTTAGCCATTGTTTTAATATGGCAAAAAATGGTTAATATTACCCAGACCCGTTGACGTGATGGCAGGGATTTTACTTGAACTAGATAAGGTAAAAGATCATGTCCAGGTCCTAAAACATTTACTTGGAACATGATGCCGCGTTCTTTTATCGTCAATTTTGATTTATTACAAAAATATAGCCTCCTTTTTCAAGACCACTATATCTGGACAGGACACTTTTAACCCTTTATTAAATACTAAGTCAAATAATATGCATTCTAATAATGTTTTAAAAAAATTAAAATTCAACCTACCCCCCCCCCTTCCTTACCCTAAAAAGCTTTTATTTTATTTAGCTACACATTTTATTGACAGAGGATCATACTTAACCTGAAATTTTTTCATGAAAAATAAATTAAGGCTGGTTGCCTAAATTAAAAATCTGAATTAAATAAACATTTCTGCCTTTATTGTTCATTAAAAAAAAGTGACAAGGTGTCTATTTTACGCGGTCCAAGTGTCACTTCATTATCATCCGGTTGAAAAAAAAATGATAATTTGGGAATAATGCGCATAAAAATTGGGGTCCTTTGATCACTTAACTTAGACCAAACCCAATATAGTTCAGCCCTAGGAATTCTAAGTTAAGCCTCGACTTAGAAGCTAAATTTCAGGGTAAAAACTTTGTCCTATCCGTTTTGGAGTTGCCTATAAACTGATGGGTAGTGTTGTTAAACGGCTCGTTTTGAGCCGATTTTTAAAAACGGCTAACTCAATATTTTAGCCTGAAATAATATTGACTAAGCCTAGAGATTTCGATAATATATGTCTTGATCTTTGTTCCTTCTATGAACAAAATTTTCAGGCTTGCGAAATATTTTTTTGGATAAAATATTGAGTTAGCCGTTTTTAAAAATCGGCTCAAAACGAGTCGTTTAACAACACTACCCATCAGTTTATAGGCAACTCCAAAACGGATAGGACATTTATCCTGAAATTTTTTTTTTATGTCTCAAGCTTCTAAGTCGAGGCTTAACTTAGAATTCCTAGGGTTGAACTATATTGGGTTTGGTAAAACTATTGTATATATATAGAAATGGTTATTTTGGCAAATTTTATAGATCATAAAGTATTTACATGAATGAGCGTATTTTTTTATCTATAAATTGCTTACATTATTTTAACATAAAAAAATATAATTTCCCGTTCTTTTCGCGTTTTAGATTCTTTATCATAATTTGATACGTTTAGAATTTGCGTTATGAACGTTGTTGCGTAAATCTTTTTTGAAAGTCTTAGGGTTAGAATCCGCGTTAATTTCTTGCCACTGTTTTACGAAATTGAATTTTTTCTATATATAAACATACATTTCAAAATAAAATATATATAGGGATAAAAAATTTTGTGGGAAAAAAAACAAAACATAAAATTTATTACTACTACTACTACAATCCTTTAGGAAAAATGTAATCTATCAATTTTATTGCAAATTTTTCATATATCTCAATTAGCGCATTTTGTTTAAAATTTTCATTATTTTATGCTCGTGAATTTTGTAAAATTAAACTTCATTTAATAAAAACTTGAAAAAAAACAGTTTTCTATTTTGTTTTTTTCACATCCCTAGATTCACGTCTTCGTAAAAGATATGGGTAGACTCATCTCTAACCAAAACAGATGACCCAAGAGAGGAGTTCTATTAGAAAGATAGTCATCTAAATATTGTAGAATTTATTTATGATATTTAAACTTCAATTTACCTCTGTAATACGAAAATAATACTATTTTTTAATATGATTATTGATTTTAATGAAGATTTTTGATATTTTAATAAATAAAAAAAATGGCGTAGAAAGAAAAAATTAACAACAACTTTGTAGAAACATATATTTTATTTTTAACATTATTTTTCATGGTTATCTGGAGTTGCTCTTTGACAAAAGAATCCCAAAACAAATTGAGGGGAAAAATTTACAGTTCCATAGTTACAACCAACTATTTATTCTATATAGTTCGGAAACATGGCCAACGAAAGAATCAGACAAGAGAAGTCCATATAAACTATGGAGATGAGAATGCTGAGGATGATTGCTGGGGTATCAAGAAATGATAAGGTGCGAAGTACAAGATTACTAAGAAGTTTAAAAATAGTGCCTATTAAGACTAAGATAATGGTGAACAGACTTAGATGGTATGGGCACACAATGAGAAGGCCTATAAACTATATAAGAAATAAAGGAAGGCCAAAACTTCAATGGGGCCATAAAATTAGAGCCAATATGATTACATATAAATTAGATAAAAGAGATAGCATGAATAATATAAAGTGGAGAGAGATATTGAAGGAGCTTACTACCAGAAAAGGTGGCTAAAAGAAGAAAAAAAAATTATATTTTATAATAATTTACATCATCTAAATCCAAAAAAAATAATTTGTAAAAAATTAGACTTACAAGTTTACAATTAAAAATAATAATAATTGTTGAAAAGTGGTTTTCACATTTTTATTTTTAACATGAGGTGGTGTATAAATGTTAAAAAATTAGGTTTAGACCGGATAAAAAATCATAAAAATCTTTTTCAGTGTAGAATAGGTATTTATTTACCAAAACATTTTGGAAGTATTTTTAAAATTGGTATTTGCCCAATTTTCTTTATTCCACTAGGAACATATAAAAATTTTGATTTAAAACTCGATATTTAATTTTTTTTTGACGATAAATAGTTTCATAATTTAGAAGAAGAAAAAAAAATTATATAATTCTAACCTTATCTGACCCTTTGTCCAAATTATTCTTTTTGCCCTTTTTGTTAGTTTTTTTATCCTTTTTGAAAGCCGTTTTTTTAGCGTCATCGTTTTTGGACACATTATCCTCGGTCGACTTTTGGATAAAACGCGAAATTTTTTCTTTCATATCACCAGATCTCGCCTAATACAATATATATATATATGTAACATTGAAATTAAGTTCCATAAAGGGAATTTTAGCGGTTTTTTTTACAATTGGATGTCCTTCCTGACATCAACCCACCCACCCCCTTAGGTGACTTTCGTACCCTGTCGAGGAGACGGTGATTTTATTCTAAACCAAGACCTAGGACAGGTTGAGAAATATCGCGGATATTTGTATCTAAGATACAAGATACTAAATATTGATAAAAAATAATAATTTGAACACTAGGCCAAAATAAAACCCACATATTTGTTTATATACCATAGTAAAATATTTAAACCACCTTTCATATGTATTTTTTTTAAAATTTTTACATGATATATGCTTAAAATATAACTTTTTATATAAAATAAATAGATGATCATCATATTGCATTTAAAAAAAAATTCTTGCAAAAATATCTCGGTAAATATTATATATTTGATTTTCATTATTATTATTATTTATAATAGTTTGTTTTTCCATAAATATCATAATATAAAATTTTATCATCAAAATAGAATTTTTACAAAATAAAGGGTGGCAAGTTTACTAAATAAATCTCTAAAAAATATCATATTTTTTGTTTCACTGCTAGAGACGTCATCCGGAATCATTTTGTAATTATTTAATAAAAAGAAAGTTATATATGTCATAAATATGATTAAAATAATATAAAAGCCCTCCAATGAAATAATAACAATATATAATATTTTTCATTCTTCTTCATCAGTGTCAAAGTTGAAGAAAATATCAAAAATAATTTTAATATTCTTCTTTCCCCTATCTGATCTTTTTTCCAAGGTTTGGTCTAGCATGACATTATGCCAAGAATTTGTAGATGATCTTATTTCTTTCATTTTTTCTATTTCAAGTATTTTCTCATATAGATCTAGTTTAAAAATAAATAAAAATATTTACAAATGTTACCTTGATCAATATTTTTTTTAATTAATTTTTTGCATGATAAATTTGATGCAATACTAGTTGACGGTGATGCTAAATATATGTAATATTATTTATATAAAATATGATTACAATCATTCCTTAGAATTGTATCTTCACTACTTGTCTCTATGTAGGGGATTTCAATGACTATATATTAATAAAATATTAACAAAATTTAGTATATTTACCATCTTCATATTGATAATTTTCAATACCACTCATTTGCTCAAACATTGCTCTAGCAATATTTGCTTCATCAATTTTAGATATTACAGGATTTGTTTTTTTTTCAAATTGGTATATTAATTCCTGGCTCTATAGTTGGAATAAGGAAAGGCATATTGTGATATAATTGCCAAGTAGGAGTTTGATTAACATCTGACCCACTCTTTGAAGATTTCAATTTTTTATGTTCCCTCATAAAGCAATCTCTTAAATTTTTCCGTGTTGATTTAGCCATCTCTACTGCAAAAGAAAAATATTTTAAATTAGTTTAATGCGACAAATGTGGCGGGATTGTCTTGTTGCGTGGCAAAAGCTCATTATGAATAATCATTGGTAATTGCATATATTTGTATTTTGTCGTGTCGCTGTCGCTCTCTACTGTGAATTCACCCTTACAAATCATTTTGTTTTTTTCCATGCGACATTAAATACAATATGGCCGAAAAAGATTTACAAGTAAATTTTTGATATGCTATTAAAATAATAAATGTTATATATATGTCTATCAGAATATAAATAAATATTATATTAATAATTTTTTTATAGAAAATCAATAAAGAAGATTTAATCAATTCCATTAGATATCATCCTTGTCTTTATGACAAAAAATGTATAGGTTATAAAAATACCTTGAAAAATAACTCGATTTGGAAATTAATATCAGCTGAAAACAATATTGAGACAGGTAATTAAAGAGTTTAATTTAAAATATTTTTCTTTTGCAGTAGAGATGGCTAAATACATGGAGATTGCTTTATGAGGGAACATAAAAAAATAAAATCTTCAAAGAGTGGGTCAGGGGCTAATCAAACTCCCACTTGGCAATTATATCACAATATGGCTTTCCTTATTCCAACTATAGAGCCAGGAATTCAATATACCATGAAAAAAACATATCCTGTCATATCTAAAATTGATGAAGCAAATATTGCTAGAGCAATGTTTGAGCAAATGAGTGGTAATGAAAATTATTAATATGAAGATGGTAAATATACTAAATTTTGTTAATATTTTATTAATATATAGTCATTGAAATCCCCTACATAGAGACAAGTAGTGAAGATACAATTCTAAGGAATGATTGTAATCATATTTTATATAAATAATATTATATATATTTAGCATCACCGTCAACTAGTATTGCATCAAATTTATCTTGCTAAAAATTAATTTAAAAAAAAAATATTGATCAAGGTAACATTTGTAAATATTTTTATATATTTTCAACTAGATCTATTTGAGAAAATACTTGAAATAGAAAAAATGAAAGAAATAAGATCATCTACAAATTCTTGGCTTAATGTCAAGCTAGACCAACCTTGGAAAAAAGATCAGAAAGGGGAAAGAAAAAGCTTATTTTTGATATTCTCTTTAACTTTGACACTGATGAAGAAGAATGAAAAATATTATATATTGTTATTATTTCATTGGAGGGCTTTTATATTATTTTAATCATATTTATGACATATATAATAAATAAACTTTCTTTTTATTAAATAATTACAAATCAATATAAAAAAATAGAGTAATATTTTTAAAATTTATTATATTATTAAGCTCTAATAGCCATGATAATTTTATTTCTCTAAAAATATTCAGAAAAGGCATCTCTAATATCTTTAGAAACTTTTGAGGTTTTTTTTTTATAGATTGAGGATTACATAAATAATAATTTTGTTTATGATCTTGTATATCCTTGGGGTGTCGATTTATGTTTTCTATTATTTTAATCATATTAAGACACATATAATAAAAAAAACTTTCTTTTTATTATATCATTACAAATCAATATAAAAAATAGAATAATATTTTTAAAATATAAGCTATAATTGCCAAGGTAATATATTTCTACAAAAATATTCTGAAAATGCATTTCTAATATCTTTAGAAACTTTTAAGGGGTTTTTTATGATTGAGAATTCCAGAAATAATTATTTTGTTTATGATCTTGAGTATCCTCAGGGAGGAGATCTATATTTTCTTTATCAATAACCAAGTTGTGTAATACACAAGTTTTTATAATAGTTTCATTATTGGTGGCATTGGTATCCAAGGCTCGATTAAGAATACGCCATTTAGATGCCAATATACCAAAGGTGCATTCCACCATATTCTGGCCCTTGAAAGGCGATAATTATAATTTTCTTGAATATTTGTCAACTTACCTGTTAAATATGTAAAAATAAAATGTAATATAACTTTTAAAGTTTTATAAATTTAAAATATTAATTTTCTTACTTTTCTTTTTCTGTATGTAATAATTTTAAATTGTTCTTTTCTTATTTAATCTTAAAAAAATAAATTGTTTTATCATTACCTTTATAAGGTTTCATAATATAATATTTTAACGGGTAAGCATCATCTGCCACAAAAACATGTGTCAGAATGATACTTGTATTTGGTAGGTTTTTTGGTGGTGGAATATCCAAGTTTCCATTCTCAATCATTTTTGATAACAAAGAATTTGAATACACACCTCCATCTGATTCACTGCCATAACTGCCTACAGCAATTACTATAAATCTACCTTTACCATCAACCAATTCTTGTAATATCATGGAGAAATATTGTTTAAAGTTGTAATATATACTCCCAGAATTAACAGGATTTTTCATCTCAATGTATTTGCCATCAATGGCTCCAACACAATTTGGAAAGTTCCAAGACTTCTCAAATTGATCAGCAATTATTTTGAAGTCAATTAAATTTGGTGGTTTCAAATGGATATTCTCAAATACTTCAAAAATTACAGTACATGTTTAAATAATTATTTTTGGAATTGTTGATATTCCCATTTTATATGAATAGGCTAAACTTGGATAGTTACATCCTGTTCCCAAATACCTAAGCAATTTTGATTATATAAAATAAAATAAATAATATAAACCTTAGTGTGATCATCAATTTTTCTTCTACTGATGTGGGATTTTTAATAAAATTTGTTTTTTTTACCACTAGTTTTGATTTAATATGAGTTAAAATATAATAAATGGTTTTCTAAATAATAAATTAAAATTCCAAATTAAATTATACAATCATATACTTTGCTTAATCTCATAGTTGTAGAACTTTTCAGGATTGTTTTTAAGCTTTGGAAAAAGTACTGAGAACTCTCCTTCCTCTTCTTTTCTTACATTCAGGTTATTTTTTCTCCTTCTTTTCATGTACCGATATAATAAAATTAATTTTAAAGTTGTTATTGAAACCATATTTTTATAAAATTAAAAAAATGCTTGTCGCTACTACTATGAATGCTATGTCGCTTACGACAAATCAGCTGCTCTGTCGCCTAATGTCGTGTGTTGATTGTAGTGTCGCTGTCGCTCTCTACTGTGAATTCACCCTTATTTATAAATAAATCTAATTATTACCAGTTAAAATTTTATAAATAATAATGATAATGAAAATCAAATATAATATAATATTTACTGAGATACTTTTGCATGAATTTTTTTTAAATGCAATATATTGGTCATCTATTTATTTTATAAAAAAAATTACATATTAAGCATATATGTTAAAAATTTATAAAAATACATATGAAAGATGGATTAACTATTGTATTTATTATGTAATATCATTCTTATATAAAGATGGTACCCCAAATATGTTTATTATATTTTGGCCTAGTGTTCAAATTAATATCCTCTTTTTATATATATATATCAATATTTCTTATTCTTTTCATTATATGATTTTTATATATCGTTTTAATATCATTATCAACCATTAATATAAAAATTTATTTTAAAATACTTTCTAAATTTACCATCATATGGAATATGAAATGATAATGAATATGATTATAAATTATATGTAGATGCTTAACGAAATTAGAAGAGTCCGCAGCCACTTATAAATTTGTGCCATTCTTAACATTCTGCTTATTATTTGTATTGATATGTTCATGATGAGTGACTTGAAAAAAAATTCCCCATTTAAAATACTTAATTTAAATTTATAATTTATATTTTTCTGTAAAGAGAATCATCTGACTAAGATAAAGATATCATTCTATCTTCTTCTTCGATCAATATTTTAAAATAGATGGATATAAAACGATTCGAATAAAATATGGTAGTTATTTTACAAATTTCTATATGACGACCAGCGTCATATAGATCATACATTTATCCTTAAAATATCTAAATTCATTTAATAACTAATATAAATTTTTCTTAAAAATATCTCTATCTATTTGAATACAAAGTTGAATAAGATACAAATACTTTTAAATAATTTGTAACTTAGATAAAAGATACTTCAAAAATTTAAAAAAAAATACAAATCTCCGCGACACTGCACAACCCTGTAGAACCCTATAATATTTAAGCCAACATTAAACTAGATAAGTATCGTGTAAACTTTTGTAACTCTAAAAAAGGAATAGTATAATAAAAGTCTCGTAAAATTCATCGGAAAAACGAGTGATATTTTATTCTAAAAGAGTATCGATGGCGATTATCCTTTAGATAATTTATCATGATACACCTAAATTAATACACACAAAAATTCACGAACTAATTAAAAAATATTTATCTTTTACAAATTTCTTTTAAAAATGTAATAAATATGATCTTTGCACTCAATTGATACATCTGTTAAAATAAATCATATCAAATACAATGTATGTAAAAAAAATTGAAATTACAACAAAAACTATAAATCAATAAAAATTATAAAATTAACCAAAAAATCGTGTTATAAATATTATAAAAATTTATTTAAAAAAAACCTTTATCTCTTGGGGAGCTAAAACAGAGGCTTCGGAATTAACCAATGGTGTTATCTCTTCACTTTGAATGACAGACAGATTATTATTGTTTCTAGAATTAGGTATCAGCCTAATCTCGGGTTCGGGCTAATAAAAAGAAAATAGTAATGAATTATAATTTTTTCCCCTCCCTCCCAAAAAAAAGTTAATTTTCTTCTTCAAAAAAATCTCTATAAAATAAACACAATATAAAATCTAATGAAAGGATTCTATAATATTTGCCTATTTTCTTTCTTTTTTCTTTCTTTCTCTTTTCTTTCTATATTTCTTTCTTTCTCTTTTCTTTCTTTATTTCTTTTTTTTTTCTTTTTCTATGACTTTTTGATTCTAAATAGTCTGTCAAAAAAATTTTAATAATCTGGGAGGGGGGAGTATTTTTATATCATAATCCTCCCATCCCAATTTTACCAATAATTATATAGAAGACCAATCAAGTGGTAATAAAAATATCATGTGTTCAGTAGGTGCACAAATCCGATAAAAATGTATCAGTATCAGAACGATAATCACGGTATTCGGCCGGTACTCAAGATTTCCGGCTTAAACTTATCGGTTTATGCACCGGTTAAGAGTAGTTAGTAATGAATCACCTTCATCGTATGCACTTAAAATAAATTTAATTTAAAATATATTTTTTTGCTTGCCAAGATGGGTTTGAAACGTAAATTGCAAAGCGCGTCAAGCTTGAAGAACAAATTTTTCATGTCTTTTTTGATATCTAGATGGATTTGGGTTAAATTTTGCTGTTCATCTCCAGCGATAATGGATGACTTTGGTTTAATTTTATATATAAACAAAACATTTAAAAAAATTGTGTCTAAATATAAAATAAATATCAGAATTTAAAATACTCCTTTTGAGAATGCTCCTATAAATTTTCAGTCAAATTTTACCTAAAATTCTAAAATTATTTTAAATAAATCTTATGTTATTTTAATGAATAATAGGATGATATCAATTTTATTTGTATATATTGTTTTGAGTAAAATTTATTTATAATATTTATATAAATAAATTTATTAAGTAAAGTTTCGTAATTACTTTCTTATTTTGTTCTTCTCCCTGCCAACCTTAACATGGTGGCAGCGGAATTTACAATTTTAAAATCTTTTAAATTTATTTATTTCCACAAAAAAAATATAAATTAGATCCAAATGGATCAATCAACAATGAGGAGAATTGTTACACCAAAAGTTATTTTTAAAATAAAATGATGAAAGGTAAAAATTATGCCAAGATAAAAAGTATGATTTATATATTTTTTATTTAGGAAAAAGGTCATATTTTTCATTATTATATTTTTTTCACTCCGACAAGACAAGTAGTTTTTAAATAATTAAATAAATATATATCCTCTAGGTGGCGTAAGGTATCAAAATTTTAAAAAAAATCTTAATGTAAGCGAGAAATTATATTTATATTCTAAATTTAAAACATAAAAATCTAAACCAATATTAAAACTTTACAATTTTTTTAAAACATTTTTATTATGTCAAGGTTGTGTCCTAAATCAGGTTTAAAAATTCGCCCAAAAATAAATAAAAAAACTTTTTTTTTAAATTTTAATCAAATCTGTAAATTAACATTTTGAGATAAATCTAAAAAAACTAGGGAATGTTTTTATTATTATATTAAATATAGCCTATTTCTTTCTCCTTTTTTTTCGTTATAAAGTTACGAAAGTTTCCCAATTAAATTTTTGATATTTAAGCCACAAATCAGCTTTGTAAAATTAAAAATAGCCATCACAATCATTACCTATGTCCTAGGTATTGGTATTTGAATTCGATTGTTTAAACTAATTTTCTTAAATGAATTCACAATGGCGTTACTAACCTTTACAATCACAACAATCTAATTTTAAAAAAAATTTTAATTTCTGAATTTTTCTTTTGCATCTTCTGTTGTTCAATAAAGAAAAAAGAAAGGAAGGAAGAAAGAAAGAAAGAAAGAAAGAAAGAAAGAAAGAAAGAAAGAAAGAGAGAAGAAAGAAGGAAGGATAGAATTTTTCATTCAGGGGACTTGAGCCCCTGTGCGCCCCCCTTCTAATGATGCTATTGGTCATTCCTAGGTTTTTAAATGCATTCCAAATGATGAAAATATTCTTTTTTCCGAAGCCGATGATGATATATTATGATTGTTCTCTTATTCTTGATCCATTTGAACATGTACCCCCCACCGTGGTTTATCATAATTAGCCACCCCCCATCACATCCAGAATGTTTTTTTAAAGTCAGCGCCATTGAACCGCCTTAGCGGGCTCAATTTTTTTTATTAACCCGCGGAATAATGTATAACACATAAACACACACAAAAAAAAAAGAAAAAGTCAAATTAAAAATAAAACTTTATTTTTGGTGTCCAAATAATCCTTCTCGTACACTTCGCACAAGCTAATTTTGTTTGTGCCGCCATTTTGATTTGTCATATCGTCGAATATCGAGTCGATTTTACTGGACGGCTTAAACTTTTTATTATCGCCACTCTTTTTCCGCACCACGTCGTCGTAGCAACTATCCTTGATTCGTCGAATAATGACGCTCTCTATGTCATTAGTGTATTCCTCCGTTATTTTAGGTTCTATTTTTGATAACGTAAAATCGTAAAATTGAAAAATCTTTTTTACTTAACTCCCGTGTCTACCTTCATCCTCAACAAGAACTATAAAGACAAAAATGAAATTCCCACTATTTTGTTCATTTTTTTTTTATAAGTAATTTAATATAAAATATTTTAAAAATTTGCCAATTCGATATAATTAAAATCAGAGATATTAAATTTTTTTAAAATATACCTGGACCGAGCCTAAAAAGTTCTTTATTTTTAAAAATATCCAGGTCTGGTCGGGCTTATATATATTAAAAAGCCGAATGTTTAAAATCGTCATTATTGGGTTCGATTAGCCCAGAATTAAATATGTTTGGTAGATAATTAAACAATCTATTATGTTTTATTAATTTGAAGTAACTTTTACGATTCCAATTGTAAGGTAAAATAAAATTTCCTCAAAATTTATATAAAAAAAAGTCAAAATCTAAATGTTGTCAATATTATTTATCTTTGTAAAAGTAATTTTGTTTTTTTTTGTATTCTTGTAATGTAAATTAAATTTAACCGTCTCTTGTTAAATAAAAATTTAATCATCCAATTAACAAAACAAAAACTATTAATAATAATCAGAGACCTGCAGAGGTACCATTTGCGCGGTCCGGGTTTTAGACCGGTCGAGCCCGGGTTTTAGACCGGTTGAGCCCGGGTTTTAGACCGGTTGAGCCCGGGTTTTAGACCGGTTGAGCCCGGGTTTTTATAGCTAATAATGACGAATTCAAATATTTGGGTTTAAAATTAACGGCCCATCCTTGCCCGGATTTTTTTTTAAAGAAATTAAAATAAGGTCGGTCCTAAAACCCGCACCAGGATGGGCCTGCGGGTCTCTAATAATAATATAAATAAACAATTTAAATGTAATATCATAAAAAAAATGGGAACCATATTACAACTTTAGCTATAAATATCTTAAAAAAATAAATATAATATTATTTTAAAAAAGAATCCGGGCCGGGCCGGGCCTGAAATCTTTTCTTTTTTTTTAAAAAAATAAGAATAAGATTCTAACCTTTTTATATAATACATAATATTTAATCAATTTACATTTTAAATAAATAGCATAATCCTAAATAATTATATATTTTTTTTTCTTTGATATATAATAAGAAACCAAAAAATAAACCATGAAATAACAAAAAATTTGAAAAAGCACTTTTTTATTTGAAATACCCAAAACAAAATTGGATTCTCAAGCCTCACTCATCTATGTTCCTTTTTGTGTAACATTAATATATCATTTTTTTAATCTTTTTATAAAATTTCGTTAAATTATCTTGTAATATCTTTATAAAACTTCATGGATTGGTATTTTTTTATAAAAATTAAAAAAAAAAATTTTTGACTTGCAATTGCGGTCGTGTTGAAATCGAGATATTCTTCTAAAAGGCTATTGGTTGGTCGGTTCTTAGAACTAACCTCGCCAACCATATTCCAAGGCTTCTTTTCGGTTATATTCCTACTTTCCAAGTTGCTTATAATCTTCCGCATCTAAATCGTGAGTCATTAAAAATGGCATCACATGTATGTATATATATATAAATATTGTTTAGAATATTGAGACACATCGCCATTATCACATTCCCTGTGAGTATGATAATGATTAATTACTCATAGTCATATATAACATATGAGTAGCATGGAATTTCTTAATGTGAGAGGGAATTTAGCCCCCCCCCCATATATTCCTTAGACAAATCTTCAAGCATGCCTTTTAGTTTTACATTATAATATAAAACGTGTTTTCTTTTTTTCTGAAAAATTGAAACATTTATTTAATATTACTCTTTCACATTTGATTTCAAATATTATATATATTAATAAACTTTGGAAAAAAATATAAGCATGCCAAAGCCACGTCCTTTCATTTCCCACTATCGATTTTTTCCGAGGAGTAGATATTTAATCTTCTTCTTCTTCTCAGTATAAAAAAAAAATAGTGTTGTAGACGGGGGCTCATTTTGAGCATATTGTTAAAAAGGGCTAACTCGATATTTTATCAGGAAAAATATCATGCAAGCCTTAGGGTCACAAGGGCTTGAACATCTGCTAACGAAATCTCGAGGCTTAGAACAATATTTTCCTGGCCAAAATATTGAGTTAACCGTTCTCAAAAATTGGATCAAATCGAAAGCCATTTAACAAAGCGAGTGCCACAATCAGTTCGCTAAATTGCCAATTTTTTTTTTTTTTAATTTTCATCTTGAAAGATTTTTAATGCATAAAAATCACGACAAAAAAAATATAAAAGATTTAAACATTTTTAAGGTATGTTTTTTTTATTAGCAAAAAACTTTAAAAAAAAAATTTATTTTTGCAAAGCCAATCATAATCTTTCTAAAAATTATAAGTTCGAAAATGATTGGCATCAAATATTTTAAAAAAAAATTATTCTACAGATCTCAACCTTAGAGTGCAGACCAGGCTAGGATATAATAACTTTTTGCGACTGTGGCTTGGCTTAAAAATCAATTTTTCCATGAGCAAAATTTTAACCTATGCAAGCCTGTGCTCCTTATACGAGATCTCGGGCTGGATAACTTCTAAAAAAAATTTTAGGTAACTAACGGTATCTCGGGGAAATTTTCGATATTATTATTTTTTTTATTGTTTTTTTTTGAATTAAGATTTTTTCTTGAAATTTTCAATTATTTAAGATTCTATTTAAGATTTATTCTTAAAATTTTCAATTATTTAAGATTCATTTAAAAATTTTCAAATACTAGATATTTAAGATTTTTTTCTTAAAATTTAAATTTTCTAAAACTATATAACCATAATATACTAGAGAATTAAGAATTTTTATTAAAATTTTCAATTATTTAAGATTCATTCTAAAAATTTTCAATTTAATTTAAAATTTTGAATCAAATACTAAATATTTAAGATAAAAATATAATCATAATATACTAGAGAATTAAGATTTTTTCTTGAAATTTTCAATCAAATTCTAGATAAATAACCAATTTATTTGAATAAACACTGATAATATAGTTATATATATAATTTTTTTTCTTAAAATTTTCAATCAAATTCTAGATAATTAACCAATTTATTTCAATAAACAATGATAATATAGATATATATAATTTTAAGGAAAAACAAAAATAGTTTTATACATATTTATATCATTTAAAAATTTAATTAATTTATTTAAATTGGACATATTTTTAATTTTGCGAAAATAATTGTATTGACATATATACAAATGAGTTGAAGATTGATATGGGTAAAAATAAGATATTCCATTATAATATTAAATTATGGTCTTTTAAAAAAGCTATAATTAAAAATAACAACAATAAATAAAAATAAATTAAAAATAAATAAAAAATAAATTTATAAAAAAAGATGAAAAATTTTCCCGAGATACGGTTAGTTACCAAATTTTATATCGATGAATTCTGATGAAACTGGACCTGGGTGGACAAAATTTAGGCCAGCCGGTGGGCATTATCTAAATCCCCACTTGGTCGGGTTTGAAAATTTTGCCATTTGCAGACCACTGCCTTTTATATTATAATCATATCCATCCTATTCATGCCAAGGCTAAAAGGCAAGGTGTATAAAATGATTTTATAAGATATATACAAATTGTAAATATTTCAGGGTGCATTAAAATCATTGTTTATTTTTTTTAAGTTGAATTTAATTTAATGTGTCTAAAGCTTTAAAAGTGGAGATTTTAGGAGTAAAATGTTTATACCACCATATTTATGTGATACCTTAATTCATATTTTTTTTAAATATAAGAAAATTAAATTACAATTTGTATATAAAATAAAAAATGTTTTTATTTGAATGATTATAAGAGAAGAGTAGTTATGGATAATGCATAAATATGTTCAAGATGAGAACTAATATTAGTATAAACTATGATTTTGCAAATATTTTAACTCAGATGTACTTTTTAAATATATTATCCATCCTAATGATTTAGAGGTAAAAAGAATAAAGTTATAAATAATCATTTTTTAGCATGTTAATAAGGGCAGGCAGAGCACAACAGATAGAATCCAAGCATATTTAAGTAAATAGCCTATAATATGCAAAAATTTGTGAAAATAACCGAAAAAATTAATATAATAATTTACCAAAATGCATTGCAAAAAAAAATCAAATATATCAGATTGTGGTCAATCTATGTCTGGGATATCAGGTATTAATAATGAAATAACTTAATCACAAATATTCATTAAAATAATGTAATTGCCTTCTATATAAAATACAATTTTTGTTGGGATAATATAGGTATAATCTAATCTATAATCAACTCTTTAGTTTAAAGATTTCTTCACTATAAAAAATGTTTTCTTCTTTTGACTTAGTCCAATCTAGATTATCCAAATTTAGAAAAAGGCTTGGACTAGAAAAAAACTGAAAAATTAGTTCTTTCATTTTAAATATTTAATTTTTTATTGTTGAAATTTATATTTTTTAAAAAAATATCAGTTATATATATTAAGTATTACAAATATAGGATAAAATAAATTAATGAGAAAATTTAGTATAATATAATTTTTAAGTTTAGGACCACTAAATAATTTTCATTTATTAAACTGCTAAGATAAGTTATTAAAGATATATTCATAAGGTATTTGTAATAAAATGCCAAATGATTTGTAAATGATGAATTAATTATGTTAAGTTGAAATAAAAAAAATTGATTATTTCTATACCCTGAAATATTTATAATTATAATAAAGAAAAAACCTTTATTTGCTGCAATTCAAATGATGATTTATTTCCTAATCCAATATCTTCATCCAGATCTTCCCCCATACATATTCTATCACTAAAAATTATAGCGTAAAATAGAAGGAATACTATATTAATATAAATAATTTTATTAAAATGGATACAAATGATTTAATATTTTTTAAATGATATAATTGACTAATTCTTTACTATTAATCAGTGTTATACATATTAGATTAGACCTAACTCTTGTTGGATATTCTTAAAAGTAAATATTTTATATAAAAATTATACTCCTTTTTTTTTTCTTCACTTTGATGAAAGTTAATATCATTAGAAGATATTTTGTTGTCTTGATTACTATGTGTTTCATAATTATTTTGAAATTTTGGAAATAGATCAGGAAAATCTTTTGTTTTATTTGTGGCATCTATGTCTATGTCAAGATCATAATCTGTAGAACTCAATTTAGTATGTTCTTTTAAATAGTCAGACTAAACAAATTATAAATTGTTGATTATTAATTTCACTAATAATTAATATTATTATTAAATTTTTCTATATCAGCCCTTCAATCTTATATTTGTTAGTAAAAATAATAACTGATTCTAGTAATAAAACTTTATAATAAAATTAATAACTTTTTCATAATTTGCAGTTTCCAAACATATGTTAAAATTTAACGATTTATTTAATTCATCTGAGGTCAGTTTCTTGCTAAAATCACTAATTTGTTTGAGTAAGGAAGAATATGAAATTTGATTGTCTAATTCTATTTGTTGCCATAATTGTTCGGGAGAAAATTGGCTATCAATTATCAATTGATTCAATGGCGATATCAGGATTTTATAGGTTTGAAATGTATCATAAATATTTTTCAATAGTATTTTTTTGCTTGAAGAAACATTTACATCCTTAGAATTTCTATATGAAGTTAATAAAAATATTTAAATAAAACTAAGTCACATATTTATCTAAAATTTATTAAAAGATAGGATATGAAAACATAAAAAATATAAATACGTAAGATACGAATCATAATCATTTATATTTGTCTTAAAGTCATTTATAAGAGTTTTCATATTCATTTTAAAAAATTACAAATAGAAATAGGCAAACTCAAATTAGAATTAAGCGTAACAAACATTCTATCAAATTTTGACAGCTCAAAGTAAAAATTAAAAATTGTTAAACAACGGTTATTGTTAGTTATTACCAAAGGCACTGTTAAGCAAATCAGCATTTTTTTCCTTTTTTTAAGGATAGACACTGTATAATGTATAGATGGTATTTTAGATCATATGTTATATTTAACTCTCGATTATTTATTATTATACATACCATTTTTAAAGTTGTATTATATTTTTGAACTTTAAAACTTAATTAGTTAAATATCTAAACTTTTCATTTAACCTTTTAAACATCTCACCCACTATGTTATAACATATATTAAAAATCATCGTTATCGGAAAGTTTTTGACTAGCCAAAGTGTGTTGATCATGATCACTAATCCGATACTTCTGAGAATATTTAAATACATTTTAATTTATTTTATTAACATTATACTATTCAATATTCATTCTTAAACATCTTTATATTTGAATTTCTTAATTATGTTAACTTAAAATTTAGTTATTAAGTATATATTATATTTAAGTGCAATTAAATTATTTTTGTATTCAAGTTAGAATTAGTGAATATAAATATATAGAAGAACTTTTTTAGATGATCATCTGCTATTTTTTATTACTGAACTTGGTATTTAAATTGGTTAAAATGACTATTTAATTAATAGAGGTTAAATTAACAAATAGTTTCTTCAATGTAGTGAAGATATTATTTTCAATAAAGGATGACAATAATCCATTATAAATCGAAAATAATTTTAACTCTAAATATTTTTTAAATTAATATTAAACGAAAAGACGTTTAGAACAATTAAATATTCCAGTTGTTTCACACAACCATTATACATAACTAGCTGGTAACCCATAGGCGTAGCCAGGGGCAGAGGGCAAGGGGAAATCCCCCCCCCTTCAGAAATTTATCACTTTTATGAATATCATTTTAAGCTAATAAAAAATATCCCCCTTTGTCCTCCCCCCACTCCTCGGCCCACAAAAATGTATGCATATATCTTAAACAATAATTTGAAAGAAAGAATGTATAAGTTGATATTTTTTTAAAAAACTATTCATCATAATTTATACATTTTTGGAAAAAAAACATTTATATATAAAAAAAGTATACCAAAAATGCTTTTTAAGAAATGGAATATAAGCTAGTCTTAAGACAAAAGTAAAATGTATTATAATTATTTAATAAATCCATAAAATTACTAAATAATATAATATATCAAGTATAATTTTTTATAAAGTGAGTAATTTTAATTTATTTATCTTAATATAAGTAAAATAAAATTATAAAACTATTGATAAAATTAAATCATAAATTAAATAAAAAAAATTAAAGCACAATACAAACAGTGGAATTATATGTCGTAGATTTACAGTATATCTAATTTTATCAATTAATATATGACAAAGCGTTTTATTTGTTGACAAAAGCTGTTTTATTTTATCAAATACCTCTTGTTCCTTGTCCGACCAACCCCAGCAAGATTTAATGCTTGTTAATTTATGCAGAGGAGCGGCAATTCCATGTAGATGTGGCAAAAATCTCTCGTGATAATTCACAAGTCCTAAAAAAGATCGTAATTGGTGTATATTATTAGGAGTTGGTATCCTTCGAATAGCATCTATTTTTTCTTTCGCTGGATGTATTCCATATTTGTCTATTACGAAACCCAAAAAAGAAACTGATTCACTTAAAAAACGTATTTTGGCCCATTTTGCCTTCATACCCACCTGTTTTAGTTTCATTAGTACTTTTTTTACGTTATTCAAATGTTCTACATCATTTTTTCCCGTTATAATAATATCGTCAAGATATACTCTTGTAATAAATTGTCCATATATCTTTGAAATATGGTCGGCGCACTAGAAAGACCGAAAGGCATACATTGATATTGGAAATAACCAATGTGGGTCAATATGGTTAAATATTCTTTTGAACTTTCTTTTATTGGTAATTGTAAATATGCATCTTTCAAATCTATTACCGTAAATTTCAATCCATCTTTTAATTTGGTTAAAAGATCATCCACCGTTGGTATAATATGATAATCGTACAAAATATATGGGTTTAATGTCACCTTAAAATCCGCACAAATCCTGATTTCTCCATTTGTTTTTCGTACGTTTACCGTTGGAGTGGCCCATGTCAATCGTTTTTGTGTTGGATCAATCGCCTTCAATATTCCTGATTTAACCAATCTATCGAGTTCCATTTCAATTGGTTTTCGTAATGGAAAAGGTACTCTACGAGCTGGCCATGATTTCGGCCTTGCTGCCTCACTCAAATGTATGCTAACTTCTATATCATTCACCCGTCCAGGCTTGTCATCAAAAACACTAATAAATTCTGTTGTCATGCCAGCAATTTGTTTATTGGTTGTCATAACCTCTTTATTTGTGATACTACGTATAGTCACTTGTCGTGGAATAAACATATTAAATGCCAGTATCCATGGTAGTCCAAATAATGGAATGTCATTTGAACCGGTCACCACAATCGGTAGTGATCTGCTTATCTTTCCAAGACGAACCCTCAACATAGTTTCACCCAGCACATCTAGCGGTTGGTTACCATATACTAATAAAGGTTTGGTTGGTCCAAGTTTGGGTCGGCCAATTTCATCCCAATATTGTTTCCCAGTCACCGATACCTGTGCCCCCGTATCATAGTCAAATTCTATAGGTAGTCCATTAATCCAAACAAATATCTTTGCACTATTTCTACCAATTTGGGATATATTATTAATTGAATCTGATGAATCATTGTCATCTATATGCATATCATGTAACTTCTGTCCCTTACAATATTTAGCATAATGCCCTACCTTTTGGCAATTATAACATTTCACCCTTGATGCAAAACATTGAAAAGGGGGATGAGTTCTTCGATATTTTGAGCATTTATTAAACTTATACATATCATTATTGTTAAATTTATTGTTATCTCTAAACTTAAAATTATTATTATTGTAATAACTAAAATTACCCTTTTCTTTGTTATTATTATTATATAAGTACTTTTGATTTGAAAAATTTTCTTGATTATTCTCTATCTGCTCCTTAGGTTTATTGACTTTTTTTACCATCATATTTGTCACTTCATCCTCAGCCCTTTCCATTGCCAAAGCCATATTTAAAACCTGTTGAAAACTCACCATTTCTCCTAAGTCATTTATTCCATTTGGAAATCTAGTGCGAATATCTTTCTCCAATGCACTAATTTTGATTCCAGCCACCATCTGATCCCTCAATCTCCCATCTAGGTCAGATTCAAATTTACATTCTTGAGCCAATTTTTTAAGTCGAACTGCATACTCCGCAACTGATTCACCAACCCCTCTTTCTATCCGAATAAATTTAATTCTCGAGCTAAATAATGTTGAAATAGGCTTAAAAACTTTCTTACCAACTTCAATAATCTCTTCATAATTAAGATCTTTCAATATTTTTGGATAAACAAAGGACCTCATCTCAGCTAAATTACTAATACCCATATACGCAAATAATATTTTTTTTTGGTTTCATTATTTATTAATATACCTCTTATCTCCAACATATCATCAATATATTCAATGTAATCAGCAAAGTTGTTTTGATTATCGAAATTATCGAATTTGATCATAATGTTATCATTTTTTTCTTCTTTATTCATAATTACTTTATTTTTGTCTTATAAATTCATAATAAATCATCGACAACGTCGCCAATATATTAATTAAGTTTATTTGACTGGCAATCACTTCATGAAATATATTAATATGATTGATTTGTATCTATGACATTTATATCATTGATAATCTATATATATGACATTTATAACATTGATAATATATAATATAAATCTCATTTATAACACTATCTTGTAAAAATATTTTTTGACTATATATAGAATAAGGTAACCCGGCCGAAGGCCGGGTAAAAGCGGGCCGAAGGCAAAATAGGATCTGGGGGCGAAGCCCCTAGTAATTTTTTAATCCCCCCCTCTTAGGAAAATTCTGGCTACGCTTATAATAACCTGTCAAGAATGACAGGGCTGAGGGGTAATTTGTTAGTTGGTGTATATGGTACTATATAAACTTTATTATTCTATTTTATAAAAATATTAAAATTTAGGAGAAAAAGAGGTAAATTTGTTAATCATATCTCATAAGATATTTTTAGTTTATGATTCATATATCGAAAGAAAATTATGATTTTTGGGCAAATTGAAGATTATAATATCTAAGAGTACCAAAGCTCCCATTGGTCAGCATTAATGTTTGCTCTCCACTGTGTGAAGGTGGGAGATGGGTTTTAAGGGAGCAAAGAGATGAAAAAAAGAATGAATAAAAGAAGGTAGAAATATCAAAGAAAGAGACAAAGATGTGAAAAAAAAATACAAAAAATATAACACATATTTATATCTTAAGATAAGACTTGATAGTTATCATTCAACAAACTCGCATTTGAAACCAAAAAAAAATTATAAAAATATATAATATTAATAATTTTACCAAAATATAGGTAATAGATATATCCAAAACTGAGTGTAGAATAAGCATTACTTTGGTATATCACAGCAAGAAAATCTTTAATTTTTATTCCTTTGTTAAAATCCGTATTTATAAAAAACCTTTAAATTTCTAGCCCATAAAAAAACTATCCAAAACACTAAATATTTAACTAATGATTTATCTGGATTATAATGGCTTTCGAATATAATTCGTGTTCATCATTAAAACAAATTAACTATAAAAATTTTATAATCTACTATAATTTTTTTTAAAAAAAATCCTTTAAATACAAATTCAATTCAAAACACATTTTTTTTAATCCTTTATATATATCTTTTTATTTCTAATCTCTTTTCAATTAAGAATAAAAATTATGCAAACCATTAATCACAACTTCCACACACAAATTTAATTCTAAACCAAATTAATGATTAAAATATATACTGATTTCTTTTTCTTAATTAAAAAAAAAAGAAAATTAACCTTGA